TGATGGGGAAGGTCTGTGAGTGTTGGTGAAGGTCTGTGGGTGGTGGTGTAGGTCTGTGGGTGTTGCTGAAGGTCTGTGGGTGTTAGTGTAGGTCTGTGGGTGTTGGTGAAGGTCTGTGTGGGTGTTGGTGTGAAGGTCTGTGGGTGTTGGTGAAGGTCTGTGGGTGTTGGTCTGTTGGTGATGGTGTAGGTCTGTGGCAGATGGTGAAGGTCTGTGGGTGTTGGTGAAGATCTGTGGGGTGTTGGTGAAGGTCTGTGGGTGTTGGGTGTAGATCTGTGGGGTGTTGGTGAAGGTCTGTGAGTGTTGGTGAAGGTCTGTGGATGTTGGTGAAGGTCTGTGGGTGTTGGTGAAGGTCTGTGGGTGTTGGTGAAGGTCTGTGGGTGTGGTGAAGGTCTGTGAGTGTTGGTGAAGGTCTGTGGGTGTTGGTGTAGATCTGTGGGTGTTGGTGAAGGTCTGTGAGTGTTGGTGAAGGTCTGTGGGTGTTGGTGAAGGTCTGTGGATGTTGGTGAAGGTCTGTGGGTGTTGGTGAAGGTCTGTGGGTGTTGGTGAAGGTCTTTGGGTGATGGTGAAGGTCTGTGGGTGTTGGTGTAGGTCTGTGGGTGATGGTGAGGGTCTGTGGGTTGTGGTGTAGGTCTGTGGGTAATGCGGAAGGTCTGTGGGTGTTGGTGAAGGTCTGTGGGTGTCGGTGAAGGTCTTGTGGGTGTGTGGTCTGTGGGTGATGGTGTATGTCTGTGGGTGTTGGTGTAGGTCTGTGGGTGATGGGAAGGTCTGTGAGTGTTGGTGAAGGTTCTGTGGGTGGTGGTGTAGGTCTGTGGGTGTTGCTGAAGGTCTGTGGGTGTTAGTGTAGGTCTGTGGGTGTTGGTGAAGGTCTGTGGGTGTTGGTGAAGGTCTGTGGGTGTTGGTGAAGGTCTGTGGGTGTTGGTCTGTTGGTAGATGGTGTAGGTCTGTGGCAGATGGTGAAGGTCTGTGGGTGTTGGTGAAGATCTGTGGTGTTGGTGAAGGTCTGTGGGTGTTGGTGTAGATCTGTGGGTGTTGGTGAAGGTCTGTGAGTGTTGGTGAAGGTCTGTGAGTGTTGGTGAAGGTCTGTGGGTGTTGGTGTAGGTCTGTGGGTGTTGGTGTAGGTCTGTGGGTGTTGGTGTAGGTCAGTGGGTGTTGGGGAAGGTCTGTGGGTGATGGTGAAAGTCTGTGGGTGTTGGTGAAGGTCTGTGGGCGTTGGTGAGGTCTGTGGGAATGCTGTGTGGGTGTTGGTGAAGGTCTGTGGATGTTAGTGAAGGTCTGTGGGTGTCGTTGAAGGTCTGTGGGTGTGGTGAAGGTCTGTAGGTGTTGGTGAAGGTCTGTTGGGTGTGTGTTTGAAGGTCTGTGGGTGTTGGTGAAGGTCTATGGGTGTTGGTGAAGGTCTGTGGGTGTTGGTGAAGGTCTATGGGTGTTGTGAAGGTCTGTGGTGTGTTTGGTGAAATCTGTGGGTGTTGGTGAAGGTCTCTGGGGAGTGGAGAATGTTGGTGAAGGTTGGTGGGTGTTGGTGAAGGTGTGTGAGGAATGTTGGTGGGTGTTGGTGAAGGTGCGTGAGGAATGTTGGTGGGTGTTGGTGAAGGTCTGTGAGGAATGTTGGTGGGTGTTGGTGAGGTTTTAAGTGTTGGTGAATGTTTGTGGTTAATATTGGTGGGTGTTGGTGAAAGTCTGTGGGGAATGTTGGTAGGTGTTGGTGAAGGTCTGTGGGGAATGTTGGTGGGTGTTGGTGAAGGACTGTGAGGAATATTGGTGGGTGTTGGTGAAGTTCTGTGGGGAATGTTGGTGGGTGTTGGTGAAGGTCTGCGGGGAATGTTGGTGGGTGTTGGTGAAGGTCTGCGGGGAATGTTGGTGGGTGTTGGTGAAGGTCTGCGGGGAATGTTGGTAGGTGTTGGTGAAGGTCTGTGGGGAATGTGGTGGGTGTTGGTGAAGGACTGTGAGGAATTTGGTGGGTGTTGGTGAAGTTCTGTGGGGAATGTTGGTGGGTGTTGGTGAAGGTCTGCGGGGAATGTTGGTGGGTGTTGGTGAAGGTCTGTGGGGAATGGAGAATGTTGGTGGGTTTTGTTGAAGGTCTGTGGGGAATGTTGGTGGGTGTTGGTGATGGTCTGTGGGTAATATTAGTGGGTGTTGGTGATGGTCTGTGGGGATGTTGGTGATTGTTGGTGAAGGTTCGTGGGTGTTGGTGAGGTCTGTGGGTAATATTAGTGGGTGTTGGTGATGGTCTGTGGGGATGTTGGTGATTGTTGGTGAAGGTTCGTGGGTGTTGGTGAAGGTCTGTGGGTAATTTTAGTGGGTGTTGGTGATGGTCTGTGGGGAATGTTGGTGGTGTTGGTGAATGTCTGTGGGAAATATTGGCGGGTGTTGGTGAAGGTCTGTGGGGAATGTAGAATGTTGGTGGTTGTTGGTGAAGGTCTGTGGGGAATGGCGAATGTTCGTGTGTGTAGGTGAAGGTCTTGTGGGAATGTTGGTGGGTGTTGGTGAAGGTCTGTGGGCAGTGTTGGTGGGTGTTGGTGAAGGTCTGTGGGGAATGTTGGTGGGTGTTGGTGAAGGTCTGTGGGCAGTGCTGTGGTGTTTGGTGAAGGTCTGTGGGGAATGTTGGTGGGTGTTGGTGAAGGTTTGTGAGGAATATTGGTGGGTGTTGGTGAAGGTCTGTGGGGAATGTTGGTGGGTGTTGGTGAAGGTCTGTGCTGAATGTTGGTGGGTGTTGGTGAAGGTCTGTGGGGAATGTTGGTGTGTGTTGGTGAGGGTCTGTGCTGAATGTTGGTGGGTGTTGGTGAAGGTCTGTGGGGAATGGGGAATGTTGGTGGGTTTTGGTGAAGGTCTGTGGGGAATGTTGGTGGGTGTTGGTGAAGGTTCGTGGGTGTTGGTGATGGTCTGTGGGTAATATTAGTGGGTGTTGGTGATGGGCTGTGGGGAATGTTGGTGGGTGTTTGTGAAGGTCTGTGCAGAATGTTGGTGGGTGTTGGTGAATATCTGTGGGAAATATTGGCGGGTGTTGGTGAAGGTCTGTGGGGAATGGATAATGTGGTGGTTGTTGGTGAAGGTCTGTTTGAAGTGTTGGTGGGTTGTTGGAGAAGGTATGTGGGGAATGTTGGTGGGTGTTGGTGAAGGTATGTGGGGAATGTTGGTGGGTGTTGGTGAAGGTCTGTGGGGAATGTTGGTGGGTGTTGGAGAAGGTATGTGGGGAATGTTGGTGGGTGTTGGTGAAGGTCTGTGGGGAATGTTGGTGGGTGTTGGAGAAGGTATGTGGGGAATGTTGGTGGGTGTTAGTGAAGGTCTGTGGGAATGTTGGTGAAGGTCTGTGGGAAATGGAGAATGATTGGTGGGTGTTGGTGAAGGTCTGTGGGGAATGTTGGTGGGTGTTGGTGAAGGTCTGTGGGGAATGTTGGTGGGTGTTGGTGAAGGTCTGTGGGGAATGTTGGTGGGTGTTGTTGAAGGTCTGTGGGGAATGTTGGTGGGTGTTGTTGAAGGTCTGTGGGGAATGTTGGTGGGTGTTGGTGAAGGTCTCTGGGGAATGTTGGTGGGTGTTTGGTGAAGGTCTCTGGGGAATGTTGGTGGGTGTTGGTGAGGGTCTGTGGGGGAATGTTGGTGGGTGTTGGTGAAGGTCTGTGGGGAATGTTGGTGGGTGTTTGTGAAGGTCTGTGGGGAATGTTGGTGGGTGTTGGTGAAGGTCTGTGGGGAATGTTGGTGGGTGTTGGTGAAGGTCTGTGGGGAATGTTGGTGGGTGTTTGTGAAGGTCTGTGGGGAATGTTGGTGGGTGTTGGTGAAGGTCTGTGGGGAATGTTGGTGGGTGTTGGTGAAGGTCTGTGGGGAATGTTGGTGGGTGATGGGCATATGTGGTAGGTGTTGGTAAGTGTTTGTGGGTATTGGAGAGCTGGGGTGATGTGCGGAGGCAGTGAAGCTAACAGTGCCGGGGTGATTGACGGCAGCAGTGAAGCTAACAGTGATGGAGTGATGGACGGCAGCAGTGAAGCTAACAGTGATGGAGTGATGGACGGCAGCAGTGAAGCTAACAGTGATGGGGTGATGTGCGGAGGCAGTGAAGCTAACAGTGCCTGGGTGATTGACGGCAGCAGTGAAGCTAACAGTGATGGAGTGATGGACGGCAGCAGTGAAGCTAACAGTGATGGGGTGATGGAGGGCAGCAGTGAAGCTAACAGAGCTGGGGTGATGGACGGCAGCAGTGAAGCTAACAGTGCTGGGGTGATGGACGGCAGCAGTGAAGCTAACAGTGATGGGGTGATGTGCGGAGGCAGTGAAGCTAACAGTGCCGGGGTGATTGACGGCAGCAGTGAAGCTAACAGTGATGGAGTGATGGACGGCAGCAGTGAAGCTAACAGTGATGGGGTGATGGAGGGCAGCAGTGAAGCTAACAGAGCTGGGGTGATGGTCGGCAGCAGTGAAGCTAACAGTGCTGGGGTGATGGACGGCAGCAGTGAAGCTAACAGTGATGGGGTGATGGACGGCAGCAGTGAAGCTAACAGTGATGGGGTGATGGAGGGCAGCAGTGAAGCTAACAGTGGTGGGGTGATGGACGGCAGCAGTGAAGCTAACAGTGATGGGGTGATGGACTGCAGCAGTGAAGCTAACACTGATGGGGTGATGGAGGGCAGCAGTGAAGCTAACAGAGCTGGGGTGATGGACGGCAGCAGTGAAGCTAACAGTGATGGGGTGATGGACGGCAGCAGTGAAGCTAACAGTGCTGGGGTGATGGAGGGCAGCAGTGAAGCTACCAGTGATGGGTGATGGACGGCAGCAGTGAAGCTAACAGTGCTGGGGTGATGGACGGCAGCAGTGAAGCTAACAGTGATGGGGTGATGGACGGCAGCAGTGAAGCTAACAGTACTGGGGTGATGGACGGCAGCAGTGAAGCTAACAGTGCTGGGGTGATGGACGGCAGCAGTGAAGCTAACAGTGCTGGGGTGATGTACGGCAGCAGTGAAGCTAACAGTGCTGGGATGATGGACGGCAACAGTGAAGGCAGCAATAACGACTTAGTTATCGTGGGTGAGAATGATGGGCTCCGGAGTGACAATACGACCCATCAACACTACACTGCTGCCGATGTAGTCCCAGACGAAGAAGATAAAAGGATGATCCACCTCGAAGTACTTGTCACCGAAAGTTCCCACCTGGTCACCTCCGGGGACCTGGGGTGGAGACCAGTCATCTCCTTCCTCCACAACCTCACACACGGCTCTGGGGACACAAAATTCAGTAAGTCCTCAAACCAACATACACTTTATATACAGCTTTAAGAATAAGACAGGTCGTACGAGGCATGATGTAAGTGACTCAGGAAATTGTTATAACACGATTGTAAACAACTCAGGGTACGGGTGGGGTTATCATTCATCTTTCTCGCCTGCGTTCCAGGGAGTACAAACAAATGTAGACGCTTTATCATACCTACATCCATGGCAAGTGAATCGTAAAACTCAAGGCCAGTGTATAAGCCATTGGGCCATCTGGGGTCCATTTTAGCCTCGCTATGATGTGTAAATATACGTAGTTGGACAAATCTTATTGTATCTAGCTGGCCCAGTGGTTAATGCACTGGCCTGGAGTTTAACGACTCACTTGCCATGAATTCTAACCTCACCCGTACCATGGTTTAAGAAGTAGGTGAATCCAGTCAGTCGCATCAAGAGGCAGAGTCAGGAGCTGTGACTCGACCTTCACATTCCAGGACTATAGTAGATGACTACAAATATGTGAGCGGTGTTGAACCAAACGTTGATAAAAGAAAGGTCCCAAGAGCTACAATATGGCTTTTGGATAAATTAGACGCATGTACAACACTTGGGTATCTTTATTGTGGAAACGTTTCGCCACACAGTGGCTTCATCAGTCCAATAGAAAAACGAGAACTGAAGATCAGAAGAAAACTGAGGTAATCCGTCCCTCAGCCTGGAGTCGATGTAATCACTCCATCAATCTTAATAAAAATACAACATAACCTGGAACTATGGTCTGTATAAGTTGTATCATGTACTTGTGGAAATAAAAAATATTATTATTATTATTATTATTATTATTATTATTATTATTATTATTATTATTATTATTATTATTATTATTATTATTATTATTATTATATTATTACACAGAATTACGCTCCTCGACCATTGCCAGGGTCAGGGTCAGATTTACTATGAAACTAATGAAGTTTAAGCTTGAGGGGCCCAGTACTCTTGCTCCAGAACCTGATAAGTCACATATATAGCTCCGTAATAAATATTTCTGGACGAAGAATTTTTTTTTTTTTACACATTAACGATTAATAAATGAGAATGTGACAGTGTAGATGAATGGTTCAGAGAACCGATACGTTGATAAACGTTTCGCCACACAGTGGCTTCATCAGTCCATATAAAGGAGGAGTCAAATGTGATACCACCTACGACTGCTGCACCTCACCTGCCTGCGGTATATAAGCTACTTCTCCACATAATATACCGTATTCCTTTCAAGACTGATGGACTGACCACATCGACTCAAGGCTGAGGGACTGATTACCTCAAACTCCTTCTGTTCTTCACCATTCTCCTTTGTATGGACTGATGAAGCTACTGTGTGGCGAAACGTTTCCTCAATAAAGATACCCAAGAGTTGCACACATGTCTAATTTATCAACGAGAATGTGACATGTCAGAGCAGATGATATGAGAATAACAACATGGCGCAGGTGAATAACATACATGTACAACACTTTCGGAACTATTTTCAAAACATCGCGTCTGTACTCGACTGAAAAAGCCAGTTCTGCAAGCGAAACGTTTGGGAAATAAAGATACGAAAGTGTCAGACATTTACCTTATTGTTATACAAGTAAGATTGTATTATAAACTACTAGTGTAGTGATGCGACAAGTTGTAGTTGAGAAACACAAACAACAACTGCAAACTCTGATACGACGATATTTCTTGTATTAATGTTGGTAGAATTACCTATAATATGTTAAGTAAAAGGACACAAGTGCAACTAATGTGATATTTTATTGTGGCAACGTTTCGCTCTCCAGGAACTTTGTCAAGCTGTTACAAACAGTACAGTATACATACCCTCTGTATCCATGTAGTGCTTGTAACAGCTTGACAAAGTTCCTGGAGAGCGAAACGTTGCCACAATAAAATGTCACATTAGTTGCACTTGTGTCCTTTTACCTATCATGTTTTTTCTTAATGTGATGTAATGTTTTCTAAATTATTAGATCACATCTGTCAGACACAGTAACATCTTTGCATCTATACAGGAAATTCTTCTTCTCTTATCTAACCTTCAGTCGTGACTTACACTAGTGGATTTGTCCAGTGGTGACTCCGCCTCCTCCTGCTTCTACTCACCTGACTGCAGTAAGTCACTTCTCCGACCATATCATATACTTTTGTCAAGACTGATGACTGATGGACTGTACACATCGACTCGAGGCTGAGGGACCGATTACCTCAAACTCCTCATCTTTCACCATTCTTCTTTGTACTGGACTGATGAAGCCATAGGCTGGCGAAATGTTTCCTCAGTATAGATTGCCGAGTGTTACACAAGTGCCTCACTATTCAAATATTGTTAATAAAGTTTAAAATTACTGCTGCTTGTGTTTCTGTCAAACAGAAAAGAGAGGTAGTTTACCTATGGAGGAAGTCATGGAGGAGGAGGCTTGGGGTTGTGTCAGTGGTGGTGGGGAAGACAGCAGTCAGTCCCAGTGATACCAGGGCGTCCTGCAGGGGTGGTACCACGTCCACTCTGAACCTTGGTAGTCTCAGGTTCACACGCTCGTCCTGTACCAACATAACACACACACAACACTAAAATCATAATGTTAGTCTCAGGTTCACTCGTTCATCAGTGATACAGCTCAATGAGGAATAAATGAGAGGAAATACAACACTACAGCTATCATATTAGACCATAGCTGAAAGCTATACAATAGGTGGTGAAAGTTCTTGACAGATAAAACACTGAGAGGGATAAATAACTCACAGCCACATATAAACTATTTCGTAATTATTTTGTGACTGAATTCAGGTCTGCATAAACAACTTATTGCGACTGTTATTAGATCATTAATCTGCAAATAGACAATTACCACTGTGGAAAGGTGTGGTAATATCTTTTGTACAGTTCAGGACTGCACATAATGGGCCCCTGGACCCATTATGTACCTCTGTAATGTTGAGGTACAGTCCCTGGACCCATTATGTACCTCTGTAATGTTGAGGTACAGTCCCTGGACCCATTATGTACCTCTGTAATGTTGAGGTACAGTTCCTGGACCCATTATGTACCTCTGTAATGTTGAGGTACAGTCCCTGGACCCCATTATGTACCTCTGCAATGTTGAGGTACAGTCCCTGGACCCATTATGTACCTCTGTAATGTTGAGGTACAGTCCCTGGACCCATTATGTACCTCTGTAATGTTGAGGTACAGTCCCTGGACCCATTATGTACCTCTGTAATGTTGAGGTACAGTCCCTGGACCCATTATGTACCTCTGTAATGTTGAGGTACAGTCCCTGGACCCATTATGTACCTCTGTAATGTTGAAGTACAGTCCCTGGACCCATTATGTACCTCTGTAATGTTGAGGTACAGTCCCTGGACCCATTATGTACCTCTGTAATGTTGAGGTACAGTCCCTGGACCCATTATGTACCTCTGTAATGTTGAGGTAAAGTCCCTGGACCCATTATGTACCTCTGTAATGTTGGGGTATAGTCCCTGGACCCATTATGTACCTCTGTAATGTTGAGGTACAGTCCCTGAACCCATTATTTACCTCTGTAATGTTGAGGTACAGTCCCTGGACCCATTATGTACCTCTGTAATGTTGAGGTACAGTCCCTGGACCCATTATGTACCTCTGTAATGTTGAGGTAAAGTCCCTGGACCCATTATGTACCTCTGTAATGTTGGGGTACAGTCCCTGGACCCATTATGTACCTCTGTAATGTTGAGGTACAGTCCCTGGACCCATTATGTACCTCTGTAATGTTGAGGTACAGTCCCTGGACCCATTATGTACCTCTGTAATGTTGAGGTACAGTCCCTGGACCCATTATGTACCTCTGTAATGTTGAGGTCCAGTCCCTGGACCCATTATGTACCTCTGTAATGTTGAGGTACAGTCCCTGGACCCATTATGTACCTCTGTAATGTTGAGGTACAGTCCCTGGACCCATTATGTACCTCTGTAATGTTGAGGTACAGCCCCTGGACCCATTATGTACCTCTGTAATGTTGAGGTACAGTCCCTGGACCCATTATGTACCTCTGTAATGTTGAGGTACAGTCCCTGGACCCATTATGTACCTCTGTAATGTTGAGGTACAGTCCCTGGACCCATTATGTACCTCTGTAATGTTGAGGTACAGTCCCTGGACCCATTATGTACCTCTGTAATGTTGAGGTACAGTCCCTGGACCCATTATGTACCTCTGTAATGTTGAGGTACAGTCCCTGGACCCATTATGTACCTCTGTAATGTTGAGGTACAGTCCCTGGACCCATTATGTACCTCTGTAATGTTGAGGTACAGTCCCTGGACCCATTATGTACCTCTGTAATGTTGAGGTACAGTCCCTGGACCCATTATGTACCTCTGTAATGTTGAGGTACAGTCCCTGGACCCATTATGTACCTCTGTAATGTTGAGGTACAGTCCCTGGACCCATTATGTACCTCTGTAATGTTGAGGTACAGTCCCTGGACCCATTATGTACCTCTGTAATGTTGAGGTACAGTCCCTGGACCCATTATGTACCTCTGTAATGTTGAGGTACAGTCCCTGGACCCATTATGTACCTCTGTAATGTTGAGGTACAGTCCCTGGACCCATTATGTACCTCTGTAATGTTGAGGTACAGTCCCTGGACCCATTATGTACCTCTGTAATGTTGAGTTACAGTCCCTGGACCCATTATGTACCTCTGTAATGTTGAGGTACAGTCCCTGGACCCATTATGTACCTCTATAAGCTTGACTACCACCCACAGGATGGATACGGTGTATAACAGAGATATCTAACTAACATGCAAGTCCTACAAGCAGAATAAAATTAAAATAAATGATGTGATAGATTATAAGTAGAATAAAGGACACCACAAGCTGATCTCTGTCCAGTGTTACCAGAAGGTAACACTGAACACTTGGACATATTAGAAAACGTTTCGGTCCTGGGACCTTGATCACTTCACTGTATTTTTGTATACCTGAATAAACTTACTTACATAGGACCTTGATCACTTACGTGTCTTTTTAAACCACTAGTACGTGATCAAGGTCCTGGGACATTGATTACTTCCGAAGTGATCAAGGCTCCAGGACCGTAATGTTTTTTAATATGTTCAAGTGTTTGTTTACGTGTCTTTCCAAACCAACTTGACGGTATCCATTACCAAGGTTTACACCATTTCCTTCTGGTTGGAAGGTATGACTGTGGTAGTCAAATGCTGATGACTAAGACACTTGTAAAACAACTGTGTATCTTTATTGTAACGTGTCACCTACACAGTAGGTTTCTTCATGAGAATACAGAGACATCAGCAGCAGTAGAGGTGTAAAGATGATGTAATCAGTCCATCACCCTGGAAGACGTCGCTCAGAGGTGGTCAGTCCCTCAGTCGAACTCTCCACTTTCGTATTTTTCAATTATCTCTTTCTTCATTTCCATCGTAATTCTCACCCTTTTTAACACAGGCTTGGCACTGGAAGCTTTCTTGGGGCCCATGGTGGCTTATTTAGCGGTTACAAGCACTAAAAACACTGGAATAATCCAAAATAGTATATGGCAGGTACACGTGGAAGTTGCGGGACTGACCACTTCAAAACTACGTCTTCCAGGGTAATGGACTGGTACCATCGTCTTTTCATTGCTACAGCGTCTGCTGCCTCTGTATCTGACTGAAGAAGTAAGATAAGATAAGATAAGATTTCGTTCGGATTTTTAACCCCGGAGGGTTAGCCACCCAGGATAACCCAAGAAAGTCAGTGCGTCATCGAGGACTGTCTAACTTATTTCCATTGTGGTCCTTAATCTTGTCCCCCAGGATGCGACCCACACCAGTCGACTAACACCCAGGTACCTATTTGCTGCTAGGTGAACAGGACAACAGGTGTAAGGAAACGTGTCGAATGTTTCCACCCGCCGGGAATCGAACCCGGGCCCTCCGTGTGTGAAGCGGGAGCTTTAGCCACCAGGCCACCGGGCCACCATAACCAGGCCACCAGCTGTTGTACATGTGACTTAATCTTCAGCTTGTCGGTATTTTATGCCATTTTTAACATAATTAAATGTTACTCTGACATCAGCCTACATCATGGAGATTTTCTCTACGTCTCTTAACAAACAATTTGTCTCGCAGAAGATTAAATAGCATATAGAATCAATAAATTAAATGCCAGGAACACTTGTCAATCCTCAATAATAACTCACAGAGCGACAGAAATTAAGGAGGTTGATTAATCTGTATATTTCGACCCCCTTCTGGGATCCTCTTCATACCGATCACTCAATCTCCTGAGTTACTGTCTCCATGTGGGTTATTATTGAGTATATAGAATTAAATATACATAACTAACTGTTACATATGTGTTATAATCGTCAACTTGTCAGTATTGGATGCCACTGAGAAAAGTATTAAATTATACTTACCTTGAGAGTAGAAAAGAGAGCCTTAATATTGTCAGCAGTGATGTTTCGCTCAAGGTTGGTGAGGCCGAGGTCAGCATGATCTGGTAGGAGAATGAACATAGAGACCTTTCTACCCACGAAGGGTAGCTCCAGGACTCGAACTTCCAGGTCAGGTGAATAACCAAGTGGTAACTCCAGACGTCCCACCATCATTGGAATCTCGAACCTGAGACACAGTACAACACTAGTGTTATGATGGGTAAGGTTTGTCAGGAAACAGGATAACTGTTTCCTGATGAGGGTCTTGGTCAAATGATAACCCGCCTTTGGAGCTTTTGGTCATCTGACCGAGGCCTTCCGCTGGCTTACCAGTCCATCCCTTTAAAAATCAGGGTTTTCAGGTATTAATAGTGTTATGATGATAAGACACATATGCAACAGTTAGGTATCTTTATTCCGAAACGTTTCGACTACACAGTAGACTTCTTCAGTCGAGTACAGAGGAGTTAACATAAGCAGTAGAGTTGTAAAGACGATGTAATCGGTCCATCCTTGAAGTGGTAGGTTTGTTCCAGACTATGGAACAATACTCTTCTCCAGGCTGAGGAACTGACCACCTCAGAACTCCGTCTTCAAGGGTGATGGACTGATTACATAGTCTTCACATCTCTACTGTTTCTGTTAACTCCTCTGTACTCGAATGAAGAAGCCTGCTGTGTAGGCGAAACGTTTCGGACTAAGAATACCTAACTGTTGCACATTTCTTACTTATCAACAAGTCGGTATTGCATACCATTTCTCACATTCACTAAAGTTATAAAACTCTTGCAGTGGTAATCAGTAATTGCTGATGCTGCATATTTCTGGTCACCGTATTACAGAATGGATATAAATACTCTGGAAAACGTACAGAGGAGGATGACAACGTTGATCCCATGTAGCAGAAACCTTCCCTATGAGGATAGACTGAGGACCCTGAATCTGCACTCTCTAGGGGGGATATGATTGAGGTGTATAAATGGAAGACAGGAATAAATAAAGGGGATGTAAATAACGCCCTACAAATATATAACTAAGACAGGATATAGAAGTGACAACTCTCCTGTGACGTGATATAGAAGTGACAACTTACCTCTCCTGTGAGGTGATATAGAAGTGACAACTTACCTCTCCTGTGACGTGATATAGAAGTGACAACTTACCTCTCCTGTGAGGTGATATAGAAGTGACAACTTACCTCTCCTGTGAGGTGATATGGAAGTGACAACTCTCCTGTGAGGTGATATAGAAGTGACAATTTATCTCTCCTGTGACGTGATATAGAAGTGACAACTTACCGCTCCTGTGAGGTGATATAGAAGTGACAACTCACCTCTCTTGTGACGTGATATAGAAGTGACAACTCACCTCTCCTGTGAGGTGATATGGAAGTGACAACTCTCCTGTGGCAGATGTGGCAGATGCTGCAGGTGTATGGTGTAGGAGGTAGGTTACTGAAAGCAGTGAAGAGTTTTTACGAGGATAGTGAGGCTCAAGTTAGAGTATGTAGGAAAGAGGGAAATTATTTCCCAGTAAAAGTAGCCTTAGACAAGGATGTGTGATGTCGCCGTGGTTGTTTAATATATTTATAGATGGGGTTGTAAGAGAAGTAAATGCGAGGGTCTTGGCAAGAGGCGTGGAGTTAAAAGATAAAGAATCACACATAAAGTGGGAGTTGTCACAGTTGCTCTTTGCTGATGACACTGTGCTCTTGGGAGATTCTGAAGAGAAGTTGCAGAGATTGGTGGATGAATTTGGTAGGGTGTGCAAAAGAAGAAAATTGAAAGTGAATACAGGAAAGAGTAAGGTTATGAGGATAACAAAAAGATTAGGTGATGAAAGATTGGATATCAGATTGGAGGGAGAGAGTATGGAGGAGGTGTATGTATTCAGATATTTGGGAGTGGACGTGTCAGCGGATGGGTCTATGAAAGATGAGGTGAATCATAGAATTGATGAGGGGAAAAGGGTGAGTGGTGCACTTAGGAGTCTGTGGAGACAAAGAACTTTGTCCTTGGAGGCAAAGAGGGGAATGTATGAGAGTATATTTTTACCAACACTCTCATATGGGTGTGAAGCATGGGTGATGAATGTTGCAGCGAGGAGAAGGCTGGAGGCAGTGGAGATGTCATGTCTGAGAGCATGTGTGGTGTGAATATAATGCAGAGAATTCGTAGTTTGGAAGTTAGGAGGAGGTGCGGGATTACCAAAACTGTTGTCCAGAGGGCTGAGGAAGGGTTGTTGAGGTGGTTCGGACATGTGGAGAGAATGGAGCGAAACAGAATAACTTCAAGAGTGTATCAGTCTGTAGTGGAAGGAAGGCGGGGTAGGGGTCGGCCTAGGAAAGGTTGGAGGGAGGGGGTAAAGGAGGTTTTGTGTGCGAGGGGCTTGGACTTCCAGCAGGCATGCGTGAGCGTGTTTGATAGGAGTGAATGGAGACAAATGGTTTTTAATACTTGACGTGCTGTTGGAGTGTGAGCAGAGTAACATTTATGAAGGGGTTCAGGGAAACCGGCAGGCCGGACTTGAGTCCTGGAGATGGGAAGTACAGTGCCTGCACTCTGAAGGAGGGGTGTTAATGTTGCAGTTTAAAAACTGTAGTGTAAAGCACCCTTCTGGCAAGACAGTGATGGAGTGAATGATGGTGAAAGTTTTTCTTTTTCGGGCCACCCTGCCTTGGTGGGAATCGGCCGGTGTGATAATATAATATAAATATAACTCTCCTGTGACGTGATATAGAAGTGACAACTTACCTCTCCTGTGAGGTGATATAGAAGTGACAACTCACCTCTCCTGTGACGTGATATAGAAGTGACAACTTACCTCTCCTGTGAGGTGATATAGAAGTGACAACTTACCTCTCCTGTGACGTGATATAGAAGTGACAACTTACCTCTCCTGTGAGGTGATATAGAAGTGACAACTTACCTCTCCTGTGACGTGATATAGAAGTGACAACTTACCTCTCCTGTGACGTGATATAGAAGTGACAACTTACCTCTCCTGTGAGGTGATATAGAAGTGACAACTCACCTCTCCTGTGAGGTGATATAGAAGTGACAACTTACCTCTCCTGTGAGGTGATATAGAAGTGACAACTTACCTCTCCTGTGAGGTGATATAGAAGTGACAACTCACCTCTCCTGTGAGGTGATGTAGAAAAGGCCCTTGTCGAAGGTCAGGTTGCGGTCAAATCTATGCAACCATCTACCAGAAAAATACACAACCAGGACAGCCAGTGCCTCCACCTGGGCGGTGGGCGTGTGTACTAGTGGTGCCCCTACCAGCCCGCCCGTCTCCACGCCCACCCACCTGTAAAACAACAACTTGATTTATGATTTACACTGTTCAGTTTACAGGCTACAGGAACCATACTTGTTTTTTTACGAGGTTAGATTTACAGGTTAAGGTTCAATGCTCTCTTGTTTACAGGCAGGTAGCCACATCATGGGTACGGTGTGGCTACCACCCACACCATGGGTATAGTGTGGCTACCAACAACACCATGGGTATGGTGTGGCTACTACTAACACCATGGGTATGGTGTGCCTACCACCAACACCATGGGTACGGTGTGGCTACCACCAACACCATGGGTATAGTGTGGCTACCAACAACACCATGGGTATGGTGTGGCTACCAACAACACCATGGGTATGGTGTGGCTACTATCAACACAATGGGTATGGTGTGGCTACCACCAACACCATGAGTATGGTGTGGCTACCACCAACACCATGGGTACGGTGTGGCTACCAACAACACCATGGGTATGGCGTGGCTACCAGCAACGCCATGGGTATGGTGTGGCTACCACCAACACCATGGGTATAGTGTGGCTACCAACAACACAATGGGTATGGTGTGGCTACCACCAACACCATGGGTATGGTGTGGCTACTACCAACACCATGGGTATGGTGAGGCTACCACCAACACCATGGGTATGGTGCGGCTACCACCAACACCATGGGTATGGTGTGGTTACCACCAACACCATGGGTATGGTGTGGCTACTACCAACACCATGGGTATGGTGTGGCTACCACCAACACCATGGGTACGGTGTGGCTACCAACAACACCATGGGTATGGTGTGACTACCAACAACACCATGGGTATGGTGTGGCTACCACCAACACCATAGGTATAGTGTGGCTACCAACAACACCATGAGTATGGTGTGGCTACCAACAACACCATGGGTATGGTGTGGCTACTATCAACACAATGGGTATGGTGTGGCTACCACCAAGACCATGGGTATGGTGTGGCTACCACCAACACCATGGGTACGGTGTGGCTACCAACAACACCATGGGTATGGCGTGGCTACCAACAACACCATGGATATGGTGTGGCTACCACCAAAACCATGGGTATAGTGTGGCTACCAACAACACAATGAATATGGTGTGGCTTCCACCAACACCACTGGTATGGTGTGGCTACTACCAACACCATGGGTATGGTGTGGCTACCACAATCACCATGGGTATGGTGTGGCTACAACAACGTCATGGGTATGGTGTGGCTACCACCAACACCATGGGTATGGTGTGGCTACTACCAACACCATGGGTATGGTGTGGCTACCAACAACACCATGGGTACGGTGTGGCTACAAACAACACCGTGGGTATGGTGTGACTACCAACAACACCATGGGTATGGTGTGGCTACCACCAACACCATTGGTATAGTGTGGCTACCAACAACATTATGGGTATGGTGTGGCTACCAACAACACCATGGGTATGGTGTGGCTACTATCAAAACAATGGGTATGGTGTGGCTACCACCAACACCATGTGTATGGTGTGGCTACCACCAACACCATGGGTACGGTGTGGCTACCACCAACACCATGTGTATGGTGTGGCTACCACCAACACCATGGGTATAGTGTGGCTACCAACAACACCATGGGTATGGCGTGGCTACCAACAACACCATGGGTATGGTGTGGCTACCACCAACACCATGGGTATAGTGTGGCTACCAACAACACAATGGGTATGGTGTGGCTACCACCAACCCCATCGGTATAGTGTGGCTACCACCCACACCATGGGTGTAGGATGGCTACCACCAACATCATGGGTATAGTGTGGCTACCACCTACACCATGGGTATAGTGTGGCTACCACGAACACCATGGGTATAATATGGCTACCACGAACACCATGGGTATAGTGTGGCTACTACGAACACCATGGGTATAGTGTGGCTACTACGAACACCATGGGTATAGTGTGGCTACCACGAACACCATGGGTATAATATGGCTACCACGAACACCATGGGTATAGTGTGGCTACCACGAACACCATGGGTATAGTGTGGCTACTACGAACACCATGGGTATAGTGTGGCTACCACGAACACCATGGGTATAATATGGCTACCACGAACACCATGGGTATAATATGGCTACCACGAACACCATGGGTATAGTGTGGCTACTACGAACACCATGGGTATAGTGTGGCTACCACGAACACCATGGGTATAATATGGCTACCACGAACACCATGGGTATAATATGGCTACCACGAACACCATGGGTTATAGTGTGGCTATACGAACACCATGGGTATAGTGTGGCTACCACGAACAACCATGGGTATAATATGGCTACCACGAACACCATGGGTATAATATGGCTACCACGAACACCATGGGTATAGTGTGGCTACCACGAACACCATGGGTATAATATGGCTACCACGAACACCATGGGTATAGTGTGGCTACTACGAACACCATTCAAATTCAAATTCAAAGTTTATTCTCTATAAGGATTACAATGCTGAGTTTACAGAAATTTGGTTATTGTGTGGTTTACATGTAGTAAAATAATAATTACAGAGTGTACCACTAGAACACCTAGCATGGCTAGGCATTACAGAGTGTACCACTAGAACACCTAGCATGGCTAGGTATTACAGAGTGTACCACTAGAACACTTAGCATGGCTAGGTATTACAGTGTACCACTAGAACACCTAGCATGGCTAGGTATTACAGAGTGTACCACTAGAACACTTAGCATGGCTAGGTATTACAGTGTACCACTAGAACACCTAGCATGGCTAGGTATTACAGAGTGTACCACTAGAACACCTAGCATGGCTAGGTAATTACAGAGTGTACCACTAGAACACCTAGCATGGCTAGGTATTACAGATGTGTACCACTAGAACACCTAGCATGGCTAGGTATTACAGTGTACCACTAGAACACCTAGCATGGCTAGGTATTACAGAGTGTACCACTAGAACACCTAGCATGGCTAGGTATTACAGAGTGTACCACTAGAACACCTAGCATGGCTAGGTATTACAGAGTGTACCACTAGAACACTTAGCATGGCTAGGTATTACAGAGTGTACCACTAGAACACCTAGCAATGGCTAGGTATTACAGAGTGTACCACTAGAACACTTAGCATGGCTAGGTATTACAGAGTGTACCACTAGAACACCTAGCATGGCTAGGTATTACAGAGTGTACCACTAGAACACCTAGCATGGCTAGGTATTACAGAGTGTACCACTAGAACACCTAGCATGGCTAGGTATTACAGTGTGTACCACTAGAACGCTTAGCATGGCTAGGTATTACAGAGTGTACCACTAGAACGCTTAGCATGGCTAGGTATTACAGAGTGTACCACTAGAACACTAGCATGGCTAGGTATTACAGTGTGTACCACTAGAACACCTAGCATGGCTAGGTATTACAGAGTGTACCACTAGAACACTTAGCATGGCTAGGTATTACAGAGTGTACACTAGAACACTTAGCATGGCTAGGTATTACAGTGTACCACTAGAACACTTAGCATGGCTAGGTATTACAGAGTGTACCACTAGAACACCTAGCATGGCTAGGTATTACAGTGTACCACTAGAACACTTAGCATGGCTAGGTATTACAGAGTGTACACTAGAACACCTAGCATGGCTAGGTATTACAGAGTGTACCACTAGAACACCTAGCATGGCTAGGTATTACAGAGTGTACCACTAGAACACCTAGCATGGCTAGGTATTACAGAGGTGTACCACTAGAACACTTAGCATGGCTAGGTATTACAGAGTGTACCACTAGAACACCTAGCATGGCTAGGTATTACAGAGTGTACACTAGAACACCTAGCATGGCTAGGTATTACAGAGTGTACCACTAGAACACTTAGCATGGCTAGGTATTACAGAGTGTACCACTAGAACACCTAGCATGGCTAGGTATTACAGAGTGTACCACTGAACACTTAGCATGGCTAGGTATTACAGAGTGTACCACTAGAACACCTAGCATGGCTAGGTATTACAGAGTGTTACCACTAGAACACTTAGCATGGCTAGGTATTACAGAGATGTACCACTAGAACACTTAGCATGGCTAGGTATTACAGAGTGTACCACTAGAACACTTAGCATGGCTAGGTATTACAGAGTGTACCACTAGAAACACTTAGCATGGCTAGGTATTACAGAGTGTACCACTAGAACACTTAGCATGGCTAGGTATTACAGAGTGTACCACTAGAACACTTAGCATGGCTAGGTATTACAGAGTGTACCACTGAACACTTAGCATGGCTAGGTATTACAGAGTGTACCACTGAACGCTTAGCATGGCTAGGTATTACAGAGTGTACCACTAGAAACGCTTAGCATGGCTAGGTATTACAGAGTGTACCACTAGAACGCTTAGCATTGGCTAGGTATTACCAGAGTGTACCACTAGAACGCTTAGCATGGCTAGGTATTACAGAGTGTACCACTAGAACGCTTAGCATGGCTAGGTATTACAGAGTGTACCACTAGAACGCTTAGCATGGCTAGGTATTACAGAGTGTACCACTAGAACACCTAGCATGGCTAGGCATTTCGGGCAGACTTAGTTTTATTCTTAATTGTAAAATATTACAAATTATGAGGTAAGTTGGTATTATGGCTAAGTGACTAAATACTAGTTTGTGAGTTTAGCAATGTAAATGCTTTGGCACAGTATATAGTTTCAGTATTGGAGTATCACAGGATTCATTATTTTAAGACTGAGATTAATATTTCTGTTTATGGTCAAATGGGTGAGTGAGTGTAAGTGTGAACCACCAGGTGGTATTCGTGTAGTTAGTTGACGGGGTGTATCAGGGAGATAAGATGTTTTCTGATGGTAGTTTTGAAGGTGATGAATGTGTCTGCAGTTCTAGAGTTCTCAGGTAGGGTGTTCCAGATTTTAGGGCCTTTGACATACATTGAATTTTTGTAAAGGTTTAGTCGGACACGGGGAATGTCGTAGAGATGTTTG